AATTTTTTTCGAGTTACTTTTTACAAAAATTTTAATAGCTGTAATTTTTTATTGAATCAAGTATAATATGTTTTAATATTAATCCTTTTATTTTTTTTTATTTGCGCTTACCAATACTTTAAGAGTAAATACGTCTAATAGTTAATAAATATTTTTAAATTTATGGAATAATTTTAAAACCTAACAAACCCCTGTAAAATGATTATTTAAGTTAAAAATCTAAAACTAAAAGAAAGTATTTTTGTTCAATTTTATCAACAACTTTGCTATTGCTGAATAATTTTATTAAAATGTTGCCTAAAAAAATTTAAACTTTTTTTTTCATCTGAAATTTTCCTACTTGTAAATAATGAGCATATTTAATTTTTATGTAATTCAAACTTTTATATCATTTGCGTGGGGTTTTTAAAATACTTTAATAAATGTTAAAATAATCGTAAATTACTTCGTTAAAATTCCGCTCAAAAATATTTTTAAACATACTCAAACAAAAAATTTTTTGCTCGACGCAAATAGCCCTAGCTACACGCAAAATTGCTTTTGGACGATGTAAATTCACATCACCCGACGCTTTATCGCAAGGCCTGTATATATATGTATATACATATATATATATATATATATATATATATATATATATATATATATATATATATATATATATATATATATATATATATATATATATATATATATATATATATATATATTATGATTTGTTTGTTTTAAAAAAAAGTTTTAAACAATTCTTTTTGAAAATAGAAAAAAAAAAAAAAAAAAAAAATCAAGCATTTAAATTATTTCATAGCAATGGAAGATTTAATTCAACTTATTCAGAATTTAATGTAACTTTGAAAAAGAAGTATCTTTTAAAAGATTTTTAGAAAGACACAGAATAATTTCAAGGAATAGTTTCAAATGTTTGAATTTATCATAAAAAACATGCCGATATAAAAAAAATTTAAATATAACTTTTGTTAATTTACACAAAATGGGTTTATAATAAACAATCACTATAATTAATTTTTTATTTTATTTAAAGCCTTTGCGCAAAATAAAAAACTTTAGAGAAGTTTCACGATTAGAAGTTATTCATAACCTAACAATTTTTTTATAGCATTAAATTGTTAAAACATCAAAACCCCCGCAGTCTAATTGTAAAAAAATATATATAATCGTGGTCAGTTACAGCGTGCGATCGCACGCTATTCCTGTCCAAGCCTGTGTATATATGTGTATATATATATATGTATATATATATATATATATATATATATATATATATATATATATATATATCAGTCTCCGTTTAGCCAGCGCTTTCACGGTCAAGTCTTTTTGGGCTTGCCCACATGCCCGCAAAAACTGCCAGTGCGTAAGAAAGCGCTTGTCAAAAAACTAAAAGTGTTTTGTTTTAAATTGCAACAAAATTTTTTTGTTCATCTATGCATCTTTTATGAAAAATGGCATTTGTTACCAGTTTTTTTTTAATTACTTTATCTAGTATTTATTCAAAGTATTCTTATTGCTATTTTTATTTTAATTTAAATACCAGAAAAAAATAAATTTTTTAAATCGTGCAGGCTAACTAAAAAATGACCATCTTGCCAGTACTTTTTTGTGTGTTGGCATTAAATTTCAATTGGAGAATATATATGCGCTAAACATCGGACATTGTCTGGCACTTGTCCTGTAAAAAACTACATTTATCATTTTGTCCGACTTATATTATATGTGCATTTATTTTCTAATTATTTAGTTGTTCCAAAATTATTAATAAATTCAGTATTGTATTAACTTTATTTTTAAAATTTTTAATTTTTCATACAAAACAAAATTGAAGTTGAACACACGGCTATGTTTATAAATACGTCATTTTTTTGAGTTGATTCATTTTTTAAAAGACGCCAAAGCATTACATTTTTTAGAATTAAGTAGCCCAGTTTTTATCATACATATTAAAACATTGCAATTAGTTATTAATTTAAATTTATGGTTTAGTTTTTTTTTTTTTTTTTTTGTTAAATGGTTTTTATAAATTTCAAACAAATATTTTAACTTTTAAAACCTCTTTTAAATTAATTTTATAAAAATTTTAATGCAATAGTTATTTTAATGCTTATAGAAAACAAAGCTTTTTACTACGCTATTAGATTTGAGTTGTTACGTAATATTTGTTTTCGCGCTAAACATTTTTGCTATTAAAAGTGTTATATATTATAAGATTAATCCTTGAAATAGTTTAAAAAGATTTATAAAAAATTACATATTTATATAAATGTAGTTACGTGTATTACACTTTAATAATTTAAATAAAATGTGTTTATTATAAACATTATAATTAATTTGTAACTTTATTTAATAAATTAATAAGTAAAGTTAATAATTTGTGTGTTTAATATATTTACATAGTAATTGATGTATTTAATAGTTTAGAATTTTTTGATATACATTTTTATTACATATTTAATTATGTATTTAAATACAGTATTTATGTATATAATATATTTATCCAATAATTTATGTATTTAATACTTTACAATACATTTTGCATAATGTAGTAATTTTTAAAAAATTGTAATATAAACATATTTTCAAATTTTATGTAAGTTGATTTCAATAAAAAGGCAGCATATAATTATTTTTAAATACATTTTAATACAACAATATCTTAACGATATTTCGCTGACCTATTGTGGTCAGCGTCATCAGGTAATAATAAAACGTTACAAAATAACATAAAACAAATTGTTTAAAAAAGGAGACATTAAAAAGCGCCAAATATAAAAACCAATCAAATAATATAATAATGATGTCAGTTAAATTTTTGTCAAAATGGGTCCCCAAGTTCTTGTTTTAACCTTATCCCTGTCATCTCGATTTAGAATACCTTGTCCAATACCTATCTCATATCGAACTCTTGCTTTGTTAATCTCCAGGGATTCTCTAGTTTTTCTGATCCTGTATTCTGGAATGACTGCCAAGGGTTTAGCTAATCAAAGTTACCACGACATGTTCTAAAATGTTCTGTGGCTCATGAACTCAACCATTTTTGGTTTTTACAAGCTCTTTGGTGTTCTGCACTTTTAGAAATGATTTCCTTCTTTATTGTCTCACCAAAATATATATTTTCCCATGAGCATTTAAGTTGGTCAACTCCCGAATTTGAGTTCGAAGGTCATTTTGTTTTGTTATTACATAATATGTTATTTTGTTAATATGTTAATATGTTATTATGTTAATATGTTAAATTAGGAGCTGAAGTAAATAACTCTGATGTTTTGTTTTTTAAATTCTTTTTGCAGTTTTGGGCCAATAATAGGTATTCAAGGTAGTTTAAGAAACTGTTTATCAAATTGATTAGATCTAGTATTTTTTGAAACGCTGTCTAAATAGTTTTTGGTTATTTTAATAAGATTACTTTTGTTACAGCCATTTTCAAAAAATGTATTTATGGGGAAATCAATTTCTTGTGAGAGATCTTTTTGAGAACAGATTTGTTTTGCTCTAAATAAAAAACCATTAAAGATGCCAGTGGTTATGCTTGGGTTGATGTTGAAGTTTGGTTTTTTTGAACATTTGTTTTCTTCTGTTTTCAAGTTCAACAGTATATTTTATGAAGGGGTTTTGTTCATTTAAAGTTTTAAAAAACAATTCTAGTTTTTCTTTTATATTGAGCATGGCTATCATTCACATATCTTTTGTAAGTTATTGGTTGGAATGAATTAACAAAGTCTATATTAAGGGCTCTTTTTTCTATACTTTGCAAAAATGCTTCAGCTATGACTACCATCAATGATAAACCAATTGGACCTGAATTATGTATTTCATTAAGCATATTTTATTTTTTATAGGGAGATAAAATCTGAGTTTTACCTAATTCAGGTCCCATTTATACCGAGGTAGTGGTTCATGTGCCTTGTTATAGAATCGACTTTTAAATAAGTTAATATTTTTCAATATTTTATTTTCGATTTGTTTGCGATTCTTTTTAGCAAATTTGCTTATTTGATTTCTCATATTTTCTCTATTTTTTTTATAAAGCTTTTAAAATTTTTTTAGAATAGTAAATGTTTATTAAAAAAGGTGAAAAAAAAACTTTTTTTTTAGTTTTTTGTTAATTTTTAATTGTTAATTTTTAAAATTAAATAATAAATAATAGCAAAAAAGTAATTTGAACCAAGAATGAATGAATGAAAATGAATGAAAAACCTTCAACTAAAACCAGCTGGTTTAAGGCTTCTAAAAACTTGTCTTTTGCTATGTGCAAATTAACTTTCTGTGGTAGAAAACACTTTACTATGGATTCTGGGTGTTTTCTAGATAAGTGTCATAAGATTGCTTATCAGTCTTCTCTGTTTGAAATTTAATGCCAGTGCCCGAAAAAACGCTGGCAGGATGGCCATTTTTAAGTTCGCCTGTGCGATTCAAAAAATTTTTTTTTTCATTCTGCTATTTAAATTAAAATAAAAATAGAAAAAAGAATGCTTTGAATAAATACTATATAAAATAATTAAAAAAAACAGGTTAAAAAAAGCTATTTTTTGAGTTAATTTTTTGCGGTAATTTTTTTACAGCACAACTCGCTTTTTTGAGTACAAGACATTTGAAGCATACAAATCCATTCAAAATTTTATTTGCACAATGAAAATTTTGTAGATCGTATCTGATGTATAGTTAGTGCCCATTACTGGTCAAGATGTTATTGTTGCAATTTTATTGTTGCAATTTATTGTGAACATTAAGTTATTTATTTTCTGTTATATACGCTTCCCAAAATTAATTATTTGCATAATAACCCATGAAAACATAGTTAGAAAAATCGTTATCATGACTAGTCATAAAATGAACACATTGTTAAAGCAAAATTTTAAAATATTTTTCCTATTATTTCTAATATGTTGAATAAAATCAAAAAAATTTAGAAAAATGCATTAAAATGAAAGTAAGTCCTTCTGTGAACGGAATTGTTGTGCAAAAGAATTTTTATTTATTTGTTAAGGTATTTTTATAACCTTTTTTTTGGCTTCTTCAGTCTTCTCCGTTTGAATTTTAATGCCTGCACATGAAAAAGCACTGGCTTTTTTAAGTTAACCTGTGCGATTTAAAAAGTTCATTTTTTCCTGCTAATTAAATTAAAACAAAAATATTGAAAAGAATGCTTTAAATAAATACTAAAATAATAATAAAATAATAAAATAATTTAAAAGAAAAACTAGTAAAAAAAAAAACATTTTTTATAAAAGTTGAACAAATGAACAAAAAAATTTTTTGTTGCAATTTAAAATAAAACGCTTTTATTTTTTGGCAAACTTTTTTATGCCCTCGCCAAAGTATTTGCGGGCGTGTGGGCAAGCGCAAAAAGACTTGAGCGCAAAAGGGCTGGCTAAACAGAGAAGGCTGCTTCTTTGTGAACTAGTTAGTATTTTTTTTACCAGTTGTCTAGCTTGTTAGTTTGACTTTATAGCGCAAAATTACAAACAAATTTGGTTTTTGTTAACATGTTTTGTTGAACTGATGACTTTCATCCTGTTAATTGACACAATTTTTTTATTGCATGTAACTAACTTGTTAGTTGAATTTAATAGTTTTGCATATCTAAACCTTAACACTTTTGTTGTAATTTTTCATTAAGCATTATTAAAATAAGTAGTCAGCATTTTATTAGCAGAATATACCAAAAACCAATGCCATAAGACATAATTAGCCATAATATATATTTCATGATATATACAAGTTTGTTAAAAAAAGACAGTAAAATGGATGTCACGTTTTTTTACTTTTACTTATGCAACTGTTGGCGTATGCCTAAAATTTTTCATAATGAATGCAAATTTGAATAAAATTTAAGTGATGAAAAACTTGAACATTTTTCATATGTTAGCTGTAACGATTAAATCCTATTTTAATATTAGTTTATAACAGCGACAGTCTGACTGACTCAGATGATACTTTTACGCCTCTTATAAATACCAGATTTCAAGAGAAGTACAAGTTAGTATTTAACTGAGGATCATGAAAGAATTGTTGTAAGTGTTTCTTAGTCTCAACGAATGCTTGACTTTTTGCTTGGTATTTTCAAGATTAAATGCACCAAGTCATTGCCATTCAAAGTGTTGTCGAATACTATAAGATTTCAAATTAGATTATTAGGGTTTGTGCTGACACCACAAGAATAAAGTAGCCATTTAGAATGTTGTTGATCATGCTTTGGAAATGTTTATTCTCTGGCTAATGTGCAGACACTACATTTATGAGAGTCATGTGTCTCATTTTATGAAACTTGTTCTTGGCCTTACAAAAAGACCTAGCAAATGTTTCATTCAACACACGCTTCACTCAAGTAGCTGTGACTACAAATAGATTGAGATAATATACTTTACTTATAATATACTTAAAAGAATGTAATATTTAAATGGTCTCAAGATGCTTGAAATGGCTGATCTAAATCTTAATAACTTTTAATATCTTCTTTTTTTCCTGAAAATACCCAGGCAAGAGCTTTTATTGTGGAGAGTAAAATTCTTGCAAGCCACTATGCTTGCAAGAATTAGAGAGTACCTAATCATTTTCAATTTCCTACTTGTACAAAACAGTTATTTTAAACAACTTAATTACATCAAGTTGATCCAAGAGTTTATTGCAAGAATACATGAAGAGAAAAGACTTTCTTTACAAGACTTTAGGTACATCATTGTACAATAATATGTCAGTAAAACAGTTAAAAGTATTTTTCAAATAATATTTTAAAGAATAAAATATAACAATTTTAATAATAAATGTAAAATAATAAAATGTAACAATTAAAATAATAAAATGTAACAATTTTAAGGTTGAAATTTTTGTGTTTGGATTCTTAAACACTTCTTCTTTTGCTTCTTATAGTTTGTTTTTTTTTTTTTTTTTTTTTTTTTTTTGTATCCTTGGTTGTCCAAAATATCAGACAAGTCTTTTTTTGTGTAATTTTCAAGAAATCACACAAAAAAGTCTGTAGAGTATATTAAAAAGTACTCATGACATCACTTTTTTTGGTCAGAATAAACTACCGACAAACTGATTATGCTTGCTTATAACTTAATTTTGAAAGATAAAAAAGCTAAGAGTGTACTTTGTCTGTTTTCCATATTTATTTGTCATTTGTGTTATCTGTAAGTTGTACCTATAAGTTCATTAATAAATAAAAGTTTAAATATCATAAGTGATCATCTGAGATTATTCAGCAAATATATTTGATAGGTCACTATTAGTAAAATCTGATATTTCAGTTCAAGCGTGAAGTTTGATATGTTCGCTCTTGAGTTTCTTTTGTTATAACAAACTATTTTCTTACAACTTTGAGTTTTTTACTTTAATTTTGTTAAGTCTAGTTTAATCTCAATTCTCCCTGTTGATTTTTTTTATTTTTAGGTAAAAAGTGATCTTCAGACTTCTTACAATCTTTCCAAAACAGATCTTGGATGGCTAGATACTTGCTTTCTCTTGCCATATGCTCTTATGCAGGTACTTTTATTGCATTGCATTGCAATTCTTTAAAATATAAAAGACAACTTATTTTAAAATTTTAAAATTAATCTTTTAAACATATATATATATATATATATATATATATATATATATATATGTATATATATATATATATATATATATATATATATATATATATATATATATATATATGTATACATATATATATATATATATATATATATATATATATATATATATATATATATATATATATATTTATATAAATATATATAAATATATATATATATATATATTTTTATATATATATATATATATACATGTATATATGTCTATATGTTGCTTTTCCCCATATCTGCCATTATGGTTTTAGTTAATGTACTTTTTAATGAATATTTTATGTTCTAGTGGAAGAAGTCAAATATTTTGTTTTGTTACTATAAAGCAGGGTACCGCTTTCACTAATTCTTAAAGTTGCCTGACTCTCATGGGTTCAATTGTGGTGTATAAAATTGTGGTGTATGAGGTTGGTTGTAATGTATAAGTATATTTTCGTGACATCAACTGTGATAGATAGATATAGTTTTTTTGCTTCAGTTATGATGTATAAATATAGTTATAATAAATAATTATTGAACCTTGTTTTTCTTTCATGCATTATTGAATGCATGGAAGAAAAACATAAAGTTTTTAATAAAAGGCAGCAAATTTTGACATTGACCTCAAAATCTTGGTCCATCAGAAAAGTGGTAAAAAAGTTTTCAGTTTCCAAACGCAAAATTTAAAATGCAAAGTTTTTACGCAATCAAAAAAGCATCATGGCATACCCTGTTGTGGATGAATAGCTTTGCATCAGCAAAGTTATTGCAGAACTTGTAAAGCTTTTTTCCAGTGATGATAAGTATTTGAGGCAAAGGCCATGTAAAAGAGACTATAACAGTATTGGAAAAAAAAATATGTTAAAAAAATTGATTTTGTGCAACTTAAAGGAGCTCTATGCAGCATATAAGGACCCTGACCATAAAATTAGATTCTCCTAATTTTGCAGTCTTCAGACTAAATGGTGCATCCTTGCTGGTCCAAAAGGTACACATTTAGTTTGTGTATGTACAATACATCAAAGTGTTATATTGATGTTAAGTGCTGTAGGTCTTGAAACGTCTTACCATAAAATCATTGAAATGATTAAAACTCAAAAGTTTGCATGATTCACCAATGCATCAGTTGTCCTGGCATACATACATTTCATATTGCTTTTTAAAACAGTGGACAACAATAGATAGAACTGAATTATTAACAACAAACCTACTATAAATGAATTTATAGAGCTCATGTGTGAAAAACTTGGTAAAATTACTTTTTATTTATTTTTAGCAAAATCACTATCTAGTTATCTAAAGCATCTCAAAAAAAACAATGAGTATTGATGAACTGATTGTCCTGGCAGATTTTGCAGAAAATTACAGTTTTGTAGTACAAGACAAGGTACAGAGTTACCATTGGAACAGGAGTCAGTGTTCTCTTCATTTAATTATCAACTATTATAAGAAAATCAAATTGGAAACATCATCTTTTTATGTAATTTTAGTTGATTTGAATCATGATGTTGGATTTATCAATCAAGTTATGGATCAAAACATTAATGATATAAAAACTAATCTTTGTCCCACTATTAAAAAAGTTCATTATTTATCTGATGGCTGTGTAGAGCAGTATAATAGGGCTGCAATAAATGTTGAACTATCGACTGAGACCCCCCCCCTCTCCACCTTAAAATAAAGCAAAAAAACCAACAACAACATTTAAATAAACTTCTATCAATAATCTTTATTGTTACAAAATAATAATAAAAATCTGATTGGTCAATGGCAAAATATTCAGTTATTCAGTCTAGAACATTTTGTTCAACAAGAAAATTTGCTTTTTTTGAGTGGGTGCATATATACCAAGCAGAACCTAACGACATACATGCTTACCAAAACATTTTTTTACATGCATTAGGTGAATAAAAAAAAGCAAATGCTCTTACTCAGCATTTTTGGAGTAATTGCTCAGTTTTATGGAATAAACATTTTTTTTGGAGTAATTGCTCAGTTTTATGGAATAAACATTTTTTTGGAGTAATTGCTCAGTTTTATGGAATAAACATTTTTTTGGAGTAATTGCTCAGTTTTATGGAATAAACATTTTTTTGGAGTAATTGCTCAGTTTTATGGAATAAACATTTTTTTGGAGTAATTGCTCAGTTTTATGGAATAAACATTTTTTTTGGAGTAATTGCTCAGTTTTATGGAATAAAATTTTTTTTGGAGTAATTGCTCAGTTTTATGGAATAAACATTTTTTTTGGAGTAATTGCTCAGTTTTATGGAATAAAATTTTTTTTGGAGTAATTGCTCAGTTTTATGGAATAAAATTTTTTTTGGAGTAATTGCTCAGTTTTATGGAATAAAATTTTTTTTGGAGTAATTGCTCAGTTTTATGGAATAAATTTTTGAGCAAAATTGTTCACATTTTTATTCATGTAAAGCTGAGCAATTTGCTCCAAAAACACTGAGTAATTGTTCAGCTATACGTGAATAAAAGTTTGATAAAAATTGTTCAAATTTTTATTCACATAAAGTTGAGCAATTACTGAGTAAAAGCAATTGCTTTTTTTTACTCACTCAGCCGGTTCTTCATTCACTTTCACTCTTCTTTGACTTTGTTATCGCTCTACTCTGTCCAATAATATTTTCAGATGTTCTTGTTTTTCGTAGCATATAAGTAATACGCCATTTAGCATGCTCTCTGATCTGGAACTTAAATTAACTCTTTCCTGCAAAAAATCTCATAAAATAAAATCTCATGACCCCCTGATTACCTCCATAATTTATTTAAAAACAAGAACAATGTGTTTGATCCAACAACTAAATGCAAGTTCCTTGACATTAATTAACTAAATAGATCTGACATTACCATAGTAGGATTTAACTTGAGCATTGTCTATTAGAGTTAAAAAAAGGTGTCATGCTTTTTTACCTAAATCCAAATCTTGTTTTCCTTGTTTACATAGTTGTAGAACTCACTACATGACATTTTAAAATTCTTAATACATTGAAATATATTATAATATATTATTATAGTATTTATAAAAACATTTCACTTCGTCAATAAAAAACGAATTGCGCTCATCTTTCCATTGAGTTTAAATTAATTAAAACACACGTTAAAAAATTTCACATGTATAAAAGTACTTAAATGGGAACACGTTGGTTTTTTTCAACGTGTTCCAATTTATATACTTTTTTGAAAAGCATCCATGAAAAAACATCATACTTGGCTATTGGAACTGATTACTTTGCCAAATAATTAATTCCAATGTTGAAAAAACTCTCTACATCATTTTTTAAAGTTGTCATTAAGGCAACTTTAGACAAAGCATTAGCCCATTTAAAAACTGAGTATGCATCTGAAATACAAGCTTTGAAAAACTTAAATAAAAGTATTCTAGATTTGAATAAATCAGATTATGAAAAGAAAATAAATCAACTAAAAAACCAAAATGTACAGTTGAGAACACAAATAACACAAAATGAAACAAAACAAGAGAACACAAATAACACAAAATGAAACAAACACAACACAAATATCACAAAATGAAACAGTGAGAACACAAATAACACAAAATGAAACAAAACAAAATGAAACAAAACAAACACATAAGGGGTAAACAGATTCTATCTGTTGACCAGCCTCCTTCCCCTTCTTCATCTATTAGCCTGGCGCAGATGTATGTTTAATACATTGTTTCCAGTTTAGGATGTTGAATGCTGGATCTTGATTCGATGCATGGGTTTTGCTTGTGGTCTCTGTTTTTATGATTAGGCAACTCTTCTATTATCTCCTAATGAGGGTACAGCTCTAAAACTCAGTTTTATAGTTCTGAGGCCGGCTGGTAGTCAGGTTTCCCAAACTCTGTGGTAGCTCTCAGAGAGACTGATTCCATCAACAGCTGAAAAATATCAAAGTACTAACAGTGTCATGTTGCGCATGGATGGTGCCCCTTTTTGTACTTTGGTGTGCATTGCCAAGGCCACATTGGAACCCTTTGTTACGGCTAAAGGTTTATTAATAGTAATGATGCAATTGCTTGGGCTATTAAACAGTGTACTGAGTACTATCTATGTCTCTAGTCAAGTTCTTTAACAAATTTAAAAATGAATAAAGTAACAAAAACTATAAAACACAAAAAACCACTGTCATCACCAAGTTCGCTAAACCTATCATTCACTAATATTCGTGGTCTTTGAAGTAACTTTTCTTCTTTTGAGTCATATCTCTTGCAAAGTTCACCAGATCTGCTTGCTCTTTGTGAAATTAATTTGAGTTCAGCTGTCTCATATTGTGATCTTAGTGTTGATGGTTATCTTCCTTTAATTTGTAAAGACTCCAATAGTCACATGCTTGGCCTGGGCATTTATGTTCGTAAGAATTCACCCATTTGTCAGGAAACTAGGTTTAAATCCACAGACTACTCTTTTATGTGCTTTCGTTTAGCACCACTTCACTCTATCAACTTTCTCTTTGTTCTATAACGCTCTCCTTCATCTCAAGACTGCACTCTTTTTGATGTTGTTTCTGAACATATGAACCAAGCTCTCTCTCTTTATCCATCAGCTAATATTGTTGTTGTCCGTAACTTTAATGTTCATCACACTGAATGGCTTGGCTCTAGTGTCAGTGACTCTGCAGGCATTAAAGCCCACAACCTTTGCCTTTCTCAATCTCTAACTCAAATAGTCAACTTTCCAACTTGCTTTCCAGACAACCCAAATCATTTACCTTCTCTACTCGACTTATGTCTTGTTTCTGATCCTAGTCAGTGCTCATTTTCACCACATTCACCCTTCGGTGCCTTTGATCACAGTTTGATCTCTCTAAAACTATTATCTCATTCTTGTTCATCATCAGAATCCCCCTATCATCGTACTTACAACTACCTTAAAGCTGACTGGGACTCTTTCCATGATTTTT